CACCCTGATAGTACACCGTTAACTCTAACCTTCTACCTTCTGTCCATTAGGTAATCCCTAAACCACTCACATAGGCATTGGTCTAGTCCGAAACCTTTAAGTTTACTAAGGAGACCTAAGTGGGATACTTTGTCGAATGCCTTGCTAAGATCAATAAAAGCCACGTCCAACAGAAGGTTTTTATCTCTGGCCTCGACCCAATTTTCCCTAGCAAACAGTAAGTTTGTCAAGCAGGATCGTCCTGGTCGGAATCCATGCTGTTCAACTGCCAGTAAGCCATGTGTTTCAACATAAGCTAATAGCTGATCCCTTATAATAGTTTCCATTACCTTTGCTATAATGCATGTCAGACTTACCGGCCTGTAGTTAGATACCAACTGCCTGTCCCCCTCTTTGAAGATAGGGCTTATAATGGCATCCTTACAATCCCTGGGTAGCTTAGCCTGGGTCAGTGACATGTGAAAAATCTCCGCAAGCGGAATATATATTATATCCGCCAGGGAAATTAACAGTTTAGGGTGAAGTCCATCAGGCCCAGGTGATTTACCTGGCTTCAGTTTAGACAGTAGTTTGAAGACCTTTGTGTGCTCTACCACAATTGAGGGCATCTGAGTGGCGATGGCAGCGACCTCACCATATCCCTGGGTGGCACTGTCAGACGAGAAGACGTCACTAGGCCACGCTTTCACGGTCTGTATTCGTACTGAAAATCAAAGTCAAAATGAAATGAAGTGAAATAAATCTAACGGGAAAGAACATTAATATGAGCAAGTTAATATATAAAGGTTCAGATTTCTACTGATGTTCATTACTAGGCAACATCTTCAGCGCATACTTCAATTTGAAGTGAGCTTTCCGATTTCTCCACGAGTTTAAAAGTCATCGCTCCTGATAACTTTGAACATGATTGGTCGTTTTTGTGTGTTTTCTCACCCTCTAGGCTACTTGTATTGGTGCTGATTGTTTCCTTGACCTGAAGTTTTCCCCTTTGTGTATGAGATTTCCTTCTTATCGATTGGTAAATTTTGTCTATGTCAATGTGTGTCTATTGATTGACGACTCACTGGAATACCAGGCAGGCTTCTAAAAATTCTCTAGCATTCTTGGTGTTTCCTCTGTCTAGTATTTGAACGTTGTTCCAGTCGAAGTCACCAGAAGAGATGAATAATAAGTTCATGGAGAAATCTAAAAGTTCACTTCAAATTGAAGTATGCGCTTAAGATGTTGCCTAGTCGGGCAATGAAAGCTTCGTAAATAAACCATCCAGTTCAGAGAACACAACTAAACTCTTTAATGAATGTTTTAGAATAAAGGTCATGGTCATATGGAGAGTGGGTTTGCCAACCTGTTATCACTGCGGTTGTGTATAAGATTCTACATACATACATACATACATACATACACGCAAAGTTTTGAATGTGCTTTCAAATATATAATGACTTCGATTATGGGTGTTTGCAGGGATTTGGAATAATTTCGATTGTTAGTAGATTTCATCAGGAAACAGCATCAGTTGGAGAGATAATTGAAAAACGGTAGAGCATTGAACAGACGTTTCGTCCTAATTTGGCACGTTTTAGCATTGCACAATCATCCATAACACCCTACCAGGTATTGAAGAGTCCCAAACAAGGATGGAACAGAGGTGTGTTCAGTGCTCCCAGCTGGTTTTCAGTGATCTCTCTCTAACTGTTGGGTTGGTTTGTAATGAAATCTACACTGAGAGTAATTTTGTTGTTTTTCATCCTTTTGAAGAGATCGAAAAAGTGAGGTTCATATTGTTTCTATCTATTATACTCTACCACAGTGCACAAGTTCTACTATTATATCATTGTTTCTGTCTTTTTGTAATATTTACAAACGTTTATAAAACAGAAGATAACAGCTTTAATTGAATTTTGGATTTTCCCGTCGATTGATTGGACCGAAGTGCTCGGTCTCAGGTTGACATGTCGGCTTCTTGAGCAGATGCTTCGACGATGTCTGGGCATTTATTTAGTATTTAATTGGTGGATGGTGACTAGCAGTGGAATCCAGGATGCGCATTTCGTCCTATTTGGGACTCGTCATCTGGATGTACCTGCATTTCTCAGTGAGTGATGATGTTCCCACCGAGGCTCGAACCCAGTGACCATGGTTTCAAACGCCAAAGCGTTATCCACTAGACCACTTGGGCCACGAGAGCCACCTCTTGTGCACCGGGTCATATTGATTTAATTGAATTTTGGATTTTCCCGTCGATTGATTGGACCGAAGTGCTTTGGCGTTTGAAACCATGGTCACTGGGTTCGAGCCTCGGTGGGAACATCATCACTCACTGAGAAATGCAGGTACATCCAGATGACGAGTCCCAAATAGGACGAAATGCGCATCCTGGATTCCACTGCTAGTTACCATCCACCAATTAAATACTAAGAAGATAACAGCATCCATAATAGTTTTAGTACTAACAAAGATAAGAGAAAAAACAGTAAGTACCTGAACTGAACCATGCAAATTCTGTAGTCATCAGCTCCAGATGTTTTGCATATTCTGGTAAACGATTTAGAACAAAGGTTCGTTTATTCAGGCTCAGTTATTCGATAATGGTGAAGCCAGCTACAGACAACTGCAGAAAACAGGAGGAAGCGGTGATGTGCTTTTGAAGACCTATGTTCCACTCGGAACCAAAGGGGAATAATAATAATAGTACCCAGGACAGATTTATCATGTACACTTAACGTGTGAGGGCTGATGGTACTTACTACACCCAGCTGCCTAGGCTGAAGTATGTGTAGAGGGATTCGAACCTGTTACCCATCCTCTGAAAACTGAGTACTTAAGTCAGTGAGCCACTTGGTGACTAGAATATATGCGACAGAGTATCATATTCCTGCATGATCCACGCAAAACAAGGTAAAGGTGAGGTGAATGTATTTCAAGTGGAACTCCATAAGCTTGTATAGATTAACTGTGGACTAGTCAGCATAGAGTCTTTCATTACTTCAAAGTATGGGGAGGCGAGGGAGAACAGTGAAATCCATATCAGTTTAAATATTTACAATTTCGAAAATGTTAAAAAGGGTGGGGGTGGGGTGTAATAAATACGCGTTTTTAATGGAAGATTTTTCCCTATGTTAGAAAGCTTCCAACTTTATCTTCTTAACGTCTTCAAAGAATCCAACAGAAGTAACCTATATATTGTTGAGACCAGCAGTCATACGTTTCATGAATTAGTGTTTTAGTTTTACCCTGTGATCATTTCTCATATATTCTTCTCGCTTAACACTACTGCAGCTATTATTGCTTGTCGAAGAATTCTGTGTCTCTGGAAGTATAACATATGTCCCAACTACTACAGTTGATGAATGTTCATAATCTTCTCTATTGATTTACTCTCTCCACCTATCAAATTATGTCTTTCTGACTCCATTATGGATAAGATTTTATTTTGATAAATCACACAGTGTGTTATACAGTAATATTAACTGATGACGTTTCAAGCACAAACTATTGCTCATAATCATATCAAGTTACTCACACAACTTGTTCCCTGAAAAGATAAGTAATTTAGAAAAAAGCTCAGCAATTGCACTTCACGCATTAACAAACAACCACACAATAGGGTGGGATAGGGTTGAAATTCTAAAGAGAAACATAAGTAGACAAATAATAACATTCTAACAAGTAACTTATTATGACTATGAAAACACTCGTTTTATTTCCCATCTAATTGTAATTGATCAATAACACTCGTATTATTATCTCTGAATGTACATTATCTCATATCGAATTTTATTCCAATATCTAATCAATTCCGCACATGTATATAAATGAAGGAAAGAAGTTGTGTGAGTAACTTGATATGATTATGAGCAATAATTTATGCTCGAAACGTCATCAGTTAATATAACTGCACAGCACTGTGTGATTTATCAAAATAAAATCTTATCGATAACCGGAGTTATGCCCTACCACAGTGCCGAAGTTTTATACTTATATCAATATGTCTTTCTGATTACATATATCTCAAAGTTTTAATGTATAATTCACTAAAATAGACCACTACTCTGCTTGGGTTTGATTACTCCTAACTTTTTTCCTAAGTTATTCTTATATCAGTTAATATTATTATATAGTTTGCCAATCGAAATTGAACATCAGAGATTACGTTGGCTGTGAGACCTGGCCATTGAGAGCAGAAGACATGAAAAGATTAGCTGTCTTCGATCATAGGTGTCTGCGTTCTATCTCCCGCGTGAACTGGTATGATAAGGTGAGCAATATTGAGGTTAGGCGTCGAGTGCTAGGTAAGGAAGGGAAATTAGTCGACGAGACTGTGAAATTACATCGACTGAGATGGTTAGGACATGTGTTACATATACTGGCCTAGTCATCGCCTTCCTCGACAATGGGCAATGTTAGCTGATATAGAGTCTGGCTGGAAAAGAGCTAGCGGCGGTCAAATGAAAACATGGCACCAGTCAATGAAATCCACAACAGTTAGTCTAAGCCACGTAGGAAGGTGTAGACTTCCTGACTGGTTGGGGCCCTCGGGATGGTAAAAACCAATGGTTGGAAACAATTGGTGACATGGCTCAAAATCGTTCTCAATGGCTGGCTAGCGCCGATGCATCCATTCCTTGTGACTTGTGATTTCCAATGAAACTGTTTTGTTCTTCTTTATTACTATTCCTTTGTCTCACACCTCTGTTTACTGTCTCTATTATGCATTTCTTCTAGTTTCTTCTCTTGCTTTGTGTGCTACATAGATTGTGGCGACTTGAACTGCAGCACATATGTGCAAAGTTCTATGTAAAAAACCGACCGACCGACCGACGTTGAAAAATTATCTAGATTCATGAAATAGTATTAACAGCCTTTGAAATTAAATGTGACTTATGCAATTATGTCCCCTTTTAATCTATGTGATCACTCCATAGCTATTCTCACTTGATAATCTTCGATTCTTATATCCATACCTTTAAATTTTTACACTTATTTTCACGTTTTTTTTTTAGATTTTCCTTAAATTGAATCCTGTGGATGGTAAAATCAGTGGAGAAGCTGCACGCAGTCATATGCTTACATGTAATCTACCCAATAGTACACTGAGAAATATTTGGATTCTTGGTGATGTTGATCGTGACGGGTGTTTAGATGAAGATGAATTCGCCTTGGTGTGTTATTTAATGAAGTTAAAATTAGAAGGTAATGAATTACCGCCTTCTCTTCCTGAGCATTTAATCCCTCCATCTAAACGTCAGACTGAAAAACCACTTCGTAATGGATATCACAAAGGCTAATTCACTACTACTAATAATAAAATATAATAATAATCAGTATATTCGATAATGCGGAAAAATCCACTTGATGAAATACTAATCCATGGCGAAAAACGATAATGAAGAGAACAAGTAAACTTTATCAGCTTATATCGCTTTCCTATCGTTATTTGTACGTATAACACATTTGCTTTACTGACTTTTTTTCAAAAAATAATTAATATAAAACTGATTGTCTAGTCAACATAATAATTTATGGAATAAATAAAACAGAAGCCCTTATTATTCTTTCCGGTTCAAGCATGTCCCTGAAATGTTTTCTATTGTTGGACTTATACTACTGTTATACAAATAAGTAGTAAAAATTCGTCTCATGTAAAATCGGGCTGCATGCTTTAAGACCGTCGTTTTTTTCTCGAGTTCAATTGTTATCTTAGGTTTTATTTGGTGTGGTTTCTTTTCTCTTCTGTTTTGCTGCCTTTTTCACACCTCAGATGTATAACTCTTTTCTCGAAATTTAAGGCAATCTTTTTTACTAATTTGATTCTTCCCTCACCCTCATGGGTTATTATGTTTTGTTTCTTTTGCATGCTAAATATCTGTTATAGCTTCTTAACAAGCACTTTTTTTTACCGGAAATGATTAAACGAAAGCTAATCATCTGTAAAATATAAAAAAACGATGACCTGCCTTCTTCATTGATGGTTATATTAGTTATAGTTATATTATCTATTATATGCATTTTACAAGAAGTTGCAGTTGTTGTTCTTTCTTTTTTCACAATGCATTATTTGATTGAAACTATAGTCATGAATACTGATCGTATTAGAGTGACAGTTTCAGTTATGGTTACATTACACATGTACTGTTTGTTTTTTCTACAACAATTGGCTGGGTGTTACTTTATAGACTTTGAGAAGGGCTTCGACAGCGTTGACCGCGAAGTAATTTGGAAACTACTCGAGTACTACGGCGTACCCCAAATATTCATCAACCTTATTCAACAGCTGTACGACAACGGCACATGTCAAGTGATTCAAAACGGAAAACTCAGCGAGGCTTTTGGAGTAAACACAGGAGTCAGACAAGGGTGCTTATTATCACCAATGATATTCCTTATTGTGGTGGACTGGACTGGATTATGCGTCAGACAGTGGGAAACGAGAAGACAAGGATATCCTGGACTGACGTGAAGAACCTAGAAGACCTGGATTTCGCCCTTGGATGATTTATGTTTGATGTCACACAAAATCGAAGACTTACAAGCGAAAACCGACAAACTGGTCGAAGAAGCAGCTGGAGAAGACAGGACTCCAGGTGAACATAGACAAGACGGAGGTTATGAAAATAACCAACCAACAACAACAACAGCAGCAACATCCAGCGCCAATCACCATCAACGGAAGGGATTTGAAAGAGGTTACTTCATTCACTTATCTCAACTACAGGAGGAACGGACGAGGATGTCAAATCGAGAATCGGGAAGGCGAGAAACACATTCATCAACCTGAAACCAATCTGGAAATCTTCGTCACTCAACTCAGCATCAACAACAAAATTCGGATTTTCAATACAAACGTCAAGTCAGTCAGTTCTTCTATACGGATGGATCAGAAACTTGGCCAGTGGGTCACAAAGAATATTTCCAACAGCCTGTTGCAGACCTTTATCAACAACTAACTGTCTTCGCTCGATACTGAAGATCAGATGGCCGGAAAGAATCACCAACAAGAAACAAACTATGGGAACAAACAAAACAAGAACCAATCGCTCAACAAATATGCAGGAGAAAGTGGAGATGGATTGGACACTCACTGGCTGAGGAGGCCGCTGGGTGACATCGCGAGTCAGGCCAACGCTCGAGTGGAACCCGAAAGGGAAGCGGCGAGTGGGACGTCAGTGCAAGGGTGACATGGAGGAGATCGTGTGAAGAGGAGCTGGAACAGTATGGACTAACATGGATGCAGAAGACAGAAGCAAGTGGAGACGTGTAGTTGAAGCCCTATGTTCCACTAGGAACCCAAGGGAACAATCATATATATATATATATATATATATATATATATATAACGATAAAAATGCGTCCAGTATAATTGACTACTGATTATGTTACCTCAAAAGAATATTCTTTTCTATAGCTCCTTCATCATCAGGTCCTACAGTTATATATTCATCCATAATAGTGAATGAATTAGTGTTATGAACAACATTTATGTTGTTTAAATAACATCGAATCAATAATAATGATATCAATGGATTACAGTTTGATAGCATCAACATAACGATACACTGAATATCAGAAAAATTAGGAAAGATAATAATACAAATTCATGAATTTATAGTCTTTACTGAAGGCCTGCCAGGGCAGTAGTAGTGCCTGGCTGGTAGGCTGGACTTGCTTCCTTTGCACACACACAAAGTACTGGTTGTTTGAGACGAATCGCAATAACCTCTGCTGTTTGGAGTATGCAGTACCTGGACGTATTCGGCAATTTATTTGATACCCGGTAGATGATAGAGAAGGATTATTCAATGCTGGCTGGTTTTGTGGCCGGTTTGGACCAAGTGGTCTAGTATCGAACTGTTGATGGTTTCTTACTACACTTTTACTTAGCCATACTGGTAGATGTTCCCGAGTGAGCACAAAAAATCAAGTTCCTAGAGTAACAGCCAATATAACTTGCTCCACCACAAGCGCCGTTGAACTGATAAATACAACTATTCCGTATTAATTTGTTCAGTAGATATAGCACACAATGAAACGGTATTATTTACTAGATGATGACATTACGAACACAATTTATATTTCCTAATCATATCATCAGCTATACAACTTGAAAACTTGATATTTATAGTTCTCCACCTATCTCTATCTGGATTAAACATAGAACTTGGCACCGAAGTGCAGTAGTTCGAGTTGCCCTGTTCCAAAGAGCACACAAAGGTAGACAAGAAAATGAGTGGAGAGAGTTAATAGAGTTTTGACAAGTATAAGAGTGAAACAGAATGAGTAATGGTAGAAAGGAATATGAAAGATTACAGAGACTGAATACATCTGCGTAAGCCATTGACAACGATTTTGAGCCATGTCACCTATTGTCTGTCTCCAGCCATTGATTCTTAGAGTCCCGAGGCCGGGCCCCAACCCGGAAGTTTGCATCTCCCTACCTGACTCAGTTTAACTGTCAAGGATTTCATGGATTGATTGATGCCATGTTTTTGTTTGGCCACCACTTGCTCTTTTCCAACCTGCACCTATATCAGCTAGTAATGCCCGTCGGTGGTGGGGAGGCGATGGTTAGGCATTTGCAGCACGTCACCTAGCCATCTCAATCTATGTAACTTTATTGCCTCTTCGATTGATTTTCCCTCTTTGCCCAACACTCTACGTCTTACGTCAACATTACTTACCTTATTATACCACCTAACGTGAGAAAGAGATCGTAGACATCTATGATCGAAGACAGTCAACCTTTTCATGTCTTCAACTCGTATTGGCCGTGTTTCAGAACCATAGAGAAGGACGGAGCGAACTGGTGAGCAGTACACACGTCCCTTGGTTGATAGCCGGATGTCACGCCTAAGCCAGAGACGGTGAAAGTTAGCGAAAGCAGCTCGGGCTTTTTGGATCCGTGCTGAGATTTCGTCACCAATCAATCCGTTGGTGCTGAGATACAACTTCCCAAATAGGTGAAGTGGTCAACATGTTCTATCACTTCACTCCCTATCAATAAGCTAGGGTTTGACGTAGTCCAGTCCTGTAGCAGCATCTTACATTTTAAAGGGGCGAATAGTTCTCCATCTACCTTTCCATTTGTCAGATGACTAATAGAATTTTACAAATATCCAGAAAAGGTAATGAATCATTCCTATTGCACATATTCTCAATCGATTCAATAAATAAAGGTACATTGACCAATATCTTCTACTTTTCTTTGTTACATGACCTTTTAAGACTGTCATCCTTTCTCACTCCAATGTGTGTAACTGCTTGTTGTGTATAGCTGAGTTATTTCTTATTCGAATCAACTCACGTAGATTTCAACAAGTTTTTGTGCTTAGATTATCTAATTGACCCTGGCCTCTACTACTTCGACCTATGTGTATTTGACCTGACAATTATTGCAGGGTATTAAATTATTTTGTTTAGTGGACTCCATAGGATCGATCGTCTAACTGACATTATTTATTTCTAAGTGATCTAGTGGGGTTCGAATGTCACTTTTTATAGCTGATTTCTTAAGAAGCCTACATAAGGTTTCAGGGGTTCACTTTTTATACTGCAGCACTACTGATATTTCGAATTCCTTATGGTCCATGTTGTCATTCTTTCTGTGTATGTACTTCATTCATGTTTTCCTTATTATTCTTATTTTTTAAAATCAAGTTTTCAAGTTTTTTAACTACACTTGATATGATTATGAACAACAGATTGTATTCGAAACATTATACAATATTGTTAACTTTGCTACCCGTCTCGAAAAAACACTAGATCTAGTATTCATCAATGATGTTGGTATATATGAAGCTCGCAAACGTGCTCCTGTATTGAACTCTGACCACTGCATCATACGTGTACTGCCTAAAATATATTCCAAATCACACAAACGTGTCTTCTCTCACCTCTACAGTAAATTTCAACGGAGATGCTACTCACAAGATAATCTAAGCAAACTCAGATGCATGTTGATAGATACTAACTGGGACCTATTTACAGAACAAACATTAAATGACACAATCACAAACACCACAGATTATCTTAAATTCTGTTTGGAAATATGTTGTCCTAAAGAAACATTATTCACTCGTTTTGACCGTTTCTCTTCTCCATATCTCAAAAAGCTCCGTAGAGATAAAGAACTGTTGTTCAAAACAAATGATAAGTCAGGTGTAAAAAAGCTAAATCCTCTGATAAAACTCGAAATGCACAGACTAAATGTTTTATACAACCAAAGATTTTTGTCATGTAAAACCCCTTCTAGTTTATGGAAACTTTTTAAAGAAATAACTAGCGGTAAGCGGTGTAATTCTGTACAATCTCTTAATGTTAATAATCTTAATAAGTCTTTCATACGCTCCTCTGACGATATCCTTCCTAATGATATAAATCACATAGACAATAATTTTAATGGTTTTAATACCCTTGATGTGCTTAAATGTCTCCGTTCTCTTAAGCCTTCCCAAAGCCTTGGTCCTGATGGCGTACCTGCCATTGTCCTCAGGAACTGTGCTGATATTTTGTGTTACCCTCTTACTAATATTTTTAATGCTTCCTTTTCCAGTAATGTTCTACCTTCTGCATGGAAAAACATTAAAATTGTCCCTATACCAAAACAATCTTCTGGTACCGATAGTAAATTTAGGCCTATTGCAATTACTTCTCCTTTTTTAAAATTGATGGAAAAACTACTTTTACTTCGTCTTGAACCTTCATTGAAAGCTTTTAATGACCCTAAGCAATTTGCATATAAACATGGTAGAAGTACCTTGGATGCTGCGGTTGTCTTATATCATAATGTTTCTTGTTTAGACAAAGGTGCCAAATATGTCCGTGGTGCTTTCCTAGACTACACATCTGCGTTTGACTCTGTACCTAGGGGCCTTTTATTAAATAAGCTCTCCTTGACGCACACAGCATCCTGGGCTAAGAGTTGGTTGCATTCTTATTTTTCTGATAGAATGCAGTATACTGCATATGATGGCAAATCTTCTTCTGCTTTGCTTACAAAAGCCGGTGTTCCTCAAGGT